TCATTAAACACGCCCTAGAGACCTCCACGACTTCTGCTCCTAGCCCTGAGTTGATACATGATCACATAGCTCTCTGGCGATTTACCTATCATGAGAGTTATCGCGTCCCTTATAGTCGTTCAGCGTGTGCTCGTGTGCCCCGTCCCCTTTATCTTACTCTAGTGCGCGTTTTAAAAGCGCCCCGGCCTCTCCTTCCATGGCAAACCCTTTCCCCCACTAAGCAGTCCCTACCAACCTATCACCAGCATTCAATAGATACTTGCCTTTTCTCCATGTATCTTACCTGTGGACATCAGTCGTTCTTGTTGATCTAACGCGAGTCCAAGCCTCCCTCACCAGCACTACATCAAACCCTTCTTGTCGCTTCTAGCAAGAAGTACACTTATCCACCACTCCTGTGAGTAATACGTAAACAAACTTACTCGTCTGCAGCAGCCATTTATAACTTACGAACCTTCTCCACGTTTTCTCCTACTCATCCGTTATCATTCCACCAACGTACTCTTGCTACCTAGGCCTCCACCTCTCATCGCCTTTTACTTACACGCGCCTCACCTTGCGCAGGCCCTCCCACTCACCTACTCTCCTCTTATGCATCCAATCATCAGCTTCAATCACTAAGGTTAATGTCCCGTCCTTGATCCGCAGATATAAATTGCCTACTAAATATGCAACACGAAACATTGATATCCTACAATTATCGTCCAATTTATGAAGACGACTGCTTATACCAGTTGCCCTGACACCCGCGGCCTATACATCTAATACAAGCAACAAATAACGACAGTATTATAATACAAGCTCTCGCCAACCTCACTAATAGCTCTTGAAGCCCCGTTAACTTCTCATATTTCTCCGACCCGACAGTACTACATCCTTACAATGTACTTTGACTGTTAGTTACGACGTCCTCCTGGCAGCTAAAACCCCTCCAATTTACTCCAATAAGCTGATCCCGGATACGCCCCCTATCACAGAATTCACCCGCCATGCTCATGGCCTTTCAGCTGGGATTGGCTTACCCAGCAAGAGTCTCAATCGACTATATGAGTCACTGTCCGCACGCATTACACTCTCACGCCTACCGTTCCTACTCAGCGCCCGTCATATGAGCTCTAATATGCGCTAAATCTCCTGCGACTGTTTGGACATCCATTCCATTCCCCCATCTATCTCATCCTTTGCTCATACGTGTTACTCGTGCGGTACACTCAATCACGCATTACCGCTCTCGTAAGCGGTTAATGCCCGACTACCTTTACCCTGTACAAATCGCCCTCACAGAGATATCTATCCTCATCGCCTAAGGCCCACATCTATCTAGTTTACACAATCCTTACCTCCATAGTCCGTGAATTACCTTCCGCGCTGCCAGACCCAATCCAGGACATGTTTTCCGCGAGTCGAACTTCTCCACTATCGCCCATCTTCCTCGTCCCTCCGAACCAGAAGTAACCAGAAGCCCGTCCTCGCCAAAGCTTGTCTGCAGTAACGACTCAATCGTCTCCCGCAGCTAACTCCTATTGACCGTCCTCTTGCGACAGCGACGTCGTCCTTGCGCGACTTGATATTTGTTTCGTGCAGCCCACAGTTGCGGAACGCCAATGGTCCCACCGACCTGGGCATGATCTGTTATTCTCTCGTGATCCCTCATATTCTTAGTAAACAATGCACAAAACTGATCGTCATCCTCAAGGCCAGAGATCACTAGTGCACTGCCTTAACCATAGAGCTTAGCTCACGCCTCACTTATTTCCGCTGCGTCGCGCTGTTGCCTATCTTTATATTCGAGTTTCTAATCATCATATCTTCCATTTGTCCTATCATCACCGCTCCCTACCACGACGCATAGCGGCTGTAACCATCCACACACTTAGATCGTGCTCGGACTGTCTCCTTGAGATCAGCCTCCATCCCGTTGCCGCATCTCTGCCTGTATAATCACCCGGTCTCCTAATTCTTGCGCTCCGAGACTGTATTCGGAAAAGCCTCTTAATGCCCTCTAGGCAGACTCCAATGAGTCACTATCTGCTCAACCTTCACCTGCGAACTTGCCCATCTATATTGATGCGAAAATCTAATTCCGCAATCCATCTGCCTCTATACACTTCACACTCCTCATTCAGTTTCTTCCCTGTCCGGACGCTTAGCCTTTTTCTCTCGTTTTTTTTTTTTTTTTTTTTTTTTTTTTCTTTTGTTTTTTTTTTTTTTTTTTTTTTTTTTTTTTTTTTTTTTTTTTTTTTTTTTTTTTTTTTTTTTTTTTTTTTTTTTTCTTTTTTTTTTTTTTTTTTTTTTTTTTTTTTTTTTTTTTTTTTTGTTCTTTTTTGTGTGTGGTGGTGTTATACTTACTTTTTTTTTTCTGATTTGTTTGTGGTGTGTGTGTGTTGCGTCTGTCCCAGCTGTGCGTGCTTGAGTCAGTCACTACAACGACCACGACTAAGTACTACCTTACTACTCTGCTGCCACACTGATCAGTTGAAACTCCCTGTACACATAGCCTCAGCTCACTACTAGCCACTGACAATGCTCGATCTTCTCTCTCATACGTATGTCTTCCTCTCTTTCCGAAGATACGCAGTCCACTTCCTCTTGTATACTCATCATCTCTTCTGTCCTCGCCGTAGGCCGTTCTTTGCAATTTATTCTTTTCATCTCTTATCCGACCGTGCACGCTTCTTACCACCGCATTCGTAGATACGAGTAGCACCCCACAAGCAGCATTTCGTAACTCCATTGCCATCCTCTTAATCCGACGACACGCTTGCCTCCACAAGACACACCCTTCTAGTTTTATTGGCACCCCGAGTGTGTGATGTGATGTGTGTGTGTTCTTATCCTAGTTGCTATTCGAATACCGGAGAAAGAGCTATGCTCAGGTGGTCCCGTCTGCTATATTTAAATTATCGTATATCTTTTTAAATTGATGCACAGTTTTGGCACACACTACTTGATTGGGAGACTGTTCCACGATTCAATAATTCTGTTGGGAAACTATATTTTTTTACATCTTTATCACTCTTTTTAGTCAACTTTTTGTTTGTGTCCTCTCGTTCTTCTTTGTGTTCAAGATCAAAAAGTCATCCTTATCTATCTTCACTCTTCCTGTAATGCAGTTGAAAAGCATAAATCATTGTCCCCCCTTTCCTTCTTTCTTCCAAGTATAATCCTAATTTCTGTGGTCTGGTTTCGTAACTCAATCTCTTAGGTAGTACTCCGTCTTCTCTAATTTTACGTAAGTGTCTTGACTCTCCCATACTGCGCTGCAGCCATCTCGCAGCTTCGGTAGACCTCTGATCAATATCATGACACTGCTTTCTTACTCTTATGATCTTCGTAATTTTCCACATACACGAATGCCTCTTCTTCATGTTGGCAAATCAGTCCCACATTTTTGTTGGGACCTTTTATATGTCAATTGGATTTATTTTTTTCTATTTTATGATTATCCCAAGATCTTTTTCCCTGTCAGCTTGTCTCATACTTGCGTGCGTCTGCTTAATTTTTATTCAATAGTGGGCGATTTCTACTTTCTCACAAACCTGACTGACGTGGCATTTATTGGTATTGAATCCATTCCACTTCCACGTGAAACAACATTGTCTGTCCGATGTTCACTTGAGGCATTGGCATTAGGACCGTCTGTTATCCTCTTTTGTATCTTTGCGTCATCTGCAAACATATTCAATAAACTACCTCGGGCTTATGTTTGGACTCTAAATCATTGACGAAAAATATAACATAAGTCGGCGCCAACACCGATCCTTGAGGCACTCCGCTGGTTACTCGTCGCCATGTAGAATGCTTTCCTCTAATTACTGTGCTCATTGTCTTTCATGAAGAAAGTCCTCATCCATGCGAGTAGGTTGCCTTTCACCTCCACCTAGTGCTCTAATATCCATAGTAGTCTTCTATGAGACATCTTATCAAAAGCCTTTTTAAGTCTGTCGCGCGTGTGTGTGTGTGTGTGTGTTTTTGCGTCTCTCTCTCTCTCTCTCTCTCTCTCTCCTCTCTCTCTCTCTCTCTCTCTCTCTCTCGCTCTCTCTCTCTCTCTCTCTCTCTCTCTCTCTCTCTGTGTGTGTGTGTGTGTGTGTGTTGTGCGTAAGTGTGTGTGTTGTGTAAGTGTGTGTGTGTGTCCCTCTTTCTTCCTCCCCGCCCCCCCCCTCCCTTCTCTCTCTCTCTCTCTCTCTCTCTCTCTCTCTCTCTCTCTCTCTCTCTCTCTCTCTCTCTCTCTCTCTCTCTCTCTCTCTCTCTCTCTCTCTCTCTCAATAACAATAAAACAATAATGATGATGACATGATGGTGATTGTGACGAGGATGACTACATAGAATACGAATGAATAGTTAATTGTAATAGTAATGATAGCAATGTGATGACGAGGATGACGATGGCGAAGATTATGAAACTGATGACTATAATGATAATATTGAAGATGATAATGATAAATTTGATGATGGTGATGTCAATGATAATGATGATGATGATGATTATAATGAGTGATTAGTTAGTATACGATTTATCTGTCACGAATTCAGACATACGAAAATTAAAAGAATTAATGCACATTCTAAAAGCAGTTTTACTTTCGGTCCTGAATGCATGGAAATATACTATAGTTTCAGCAAAAACAAAATATAGAAAGTGTGACCAGTCCAGTCAACCAAAGAAAACGGAAACACTTTGCAATGGGTAGTTTACATAAAATGAGATATTATACATACATACATACATACATACATACATATACATGAATGAATACATAGGTAAAGATATAAATATCAATATAGATAAAGAAATGTACATGCATGTGTCATACTTATTGCAATAATGAATATAATCGTCAATGAACGTCAAATTATATTTTATGAAATGTTCAAACATGAAATTAAGATTAAAAAGAGAAATATTTTTTTCATCTCCAGAAATAAAGATTTTTTGAAAAATGTTTAAGAAACAAAAATAAAAATAAATAAATCCTTCAATGAATGCGTGTTTACATTCCGCCCCGGCCACTTGTATGACAGTCGGAGGAAAACACGTCAAAGATTAATAACAATGGCAGAAATCGACGCCCAAAAATGCTTCGATGTGGCTCTAGATCTCGTCAAACAGGCGGGAAAGGTTGGTGATTTTATTGATTAAGTTGATTAGAATACATTAACGTTTGTAGAATATGTTTTAATGGTGTAACGGAAGAGAATAGAGGTAATGCCGGGTGAAGGATGGAAGGAGATATTTCGTTAGGCCTTTTTACGTAAGCAATTTTGGGATATTGATTTTCGAAATCTTATGAGTGTTGTTGATGGAATGGTAGATATATAGGTATGGGAAGGCTACTGTTGTATTTGTTAGATTTTCTATGGCTGTATATATATACTTATTCGAATGTAAATTATTAACCATATCCAATTAATATGTATTGTGCACAGGCAGCGTGTCTCATATTTTCAGACAGTAATATTTTCAAAATATGTCATTCAAAATATTTAGTACACCATGTTAGGCCTACTGAAGACGATAGGGATCACCACTTCCACAATGCCTGTTGAATCCAAAATTGAAACAAACATTTTCCCTGGAGCTGTTTTAATTTTGGTAATTATAGCAAGATTGAGTAAATCAAACATGATGATTTGACCAGCTATATACCAGACTGTAGAGTATTTTTCTTGCACGGGGAATATTGTCTTCATTTATGCAGATAGATCTGCGGACAGATGATGAGAAACAAGTGCGCGGAAAGATCCAAAGAATTTTATGTGCGGAAGATGATTGAAAAAAGAATAAGCATGCGCAGAAAGTTACCCGAGAACTACATTTTTGTGGACAGAATTTGACCAAATATTTTTTGCGCGGGGAAAGCCTTTGATTTCTTTTACTGTTTCGAAGACATATCCTTTGTGAAGTTTAAGCTGAGTCAACAATTTCACCAAAGAAAAAGCATGGCATGCAGTGAATGATGTGCATTTTCATTTGATAGTTTAAAAACTATGAAGGATACTTGGCTGAAATGTCACAGGGATCCATTTTAATGCCTGGAGAATTATAGAAAAAAATGCTTAAATAGTTGGTTTCTGCACATGATGCATTCCTGTTAACCCATCAGCGACGGGTAAAAATTTTGGCAAGTTTACATATGCACGGGCTTGTTGACGCGCACCGGCAGTTTCCCCTGTTTGCGCCCGGCTTGATCGGTAGTTTGCGAACGACATATAGCACCTAAAAGCTTTTATTTTGGTAAAATTTATAGAAATATTAAAATTTTGAAGGTTTACCTTCACTTTAGGTGCCATTGCCTAAAATCTTTACCATATAAATGAAGCCACTACTACTGGAGAAAAACAACCTCCGTCCAATGAGCCAGTAGCGCGGGAATGGGCATGACATGATGCCCCCGGCGTTTGGTCCACAACAGCCATGGCATGTACGTACGTGACACCCGGTGCCAATGGGTTAACCCAATCATGTCACCCAGATCCAGTGGGTTATAACTATGTCCTCAGAGGGAGCTTCTCTGGTAACTTTGTAGAACATGTCAGCATCTGAAAACCCATCAAATTTGGTATCATGACTCCTCATTCTGTCAAGTTTATATTCATAGTGGTTTTAATCAGCACTTAGCAACAATAGTGATTATGTATGACCTGATAGTGGAGAGGGCATGAAGTATCATTGGAAAGTGGCGCAATTAGATTATGGGGTAATTATGTATTTTTGCCATTGTTAGGGGCTGTGTCCCAAAAACCTCCCTTTTGGGTTGGCCGCTGCCCCCCCACCTAGAATACAAAATCTACACCACATGTGATTGGCAAGATAGACCCTGGACAGGTTTGCATGACACGAGATGCAGAGGTAAACATCCCTCAATACTGAAGTTAATGTGGGATATTCATATTATGCATATTAACTGATTCCAGTGAGTATATCTGATCTATTATGTTAGCAAACATTGATAGGAATTCAGTGATATCAAATGTTCTAGAAAAGTACCCTAAGGAATTGAAAATTTGAGTGGTACATGTCGAGTGGTTGTCATGGTCTCTGTGGCTGTAAATCCCAGCAAACCTCTACGACATATTCAAGTTGTACACACACTTGTTCATGATCAAGTTGATGAAAGATGGGTAATTTTTTAATTATATTTTGTTTACTTGTAATTTATATGTTTTTAACTTTTATTTTCACTAATTGTTTGTCTTTTTCCCAAAGGTTGTACGAGAGGCAATCAAAAAGAAGAAGAATATTGAGACTAAGAGCTCAGCAGTAGATTTGGTGACTGAATCAGACAAGGCAGTTGAGAAGATGCTTATCTCTGGATTGTCTGAGGCCTTCCCTGACCACAAGTTAGTTGCCAATTAAGTCTTCATCCTTTCAGTAGGATATTAGGATCTTATGGTAAATCTTCATAGTATGAATGCAGAGACTCCCAAGGACACATCACAAAATTTATCCAATAACATGTTGCCATGACTGGGTTTGCCCTTTGGGCACTGCCCATTTATAGTATGGACGCAGAGATTAAGTTCCTAATTTTTTGTCTTGTACAAGAATATCATCTTAACTTTGTCCTTGCTTAGTGCATCCATACCGTAAAGATTAACAGGATCTTGTATATAATATAAGTATTCCAACACATGAGAAATAAGCAATTAGCCAGATCAGCAGATTAAAAAAGCCAGGCTAATATTCCCAGGTTTATTGGCGAAGAGTCAGTATCCGCTGGAGAGAAGTGCATCCTGACTGATGAGCCAACATGGATCATTGACCCTATAGATGGGACCATGAACTTTGTGCATAGCTTCCCCTACACTTGCATCTCTGTTGGACTTTGGGTAAAGAAGGAGGCCCTTGTAGGTGTTGTGTACAACCCGGTGCTTGAGCAGATGTTTACTGCCATTAAAGGGCAAGGATCATTCCTGAATGGCGAGAAGCTTTCTGTGTCTGGGGAGAAAGGTGAGTGAGGGACTTTTATTTGGGGTCCCATGATATTGGTGAAAATTTCTGGATATAATTTATGACAGTGATATGCATAATTATATTTAGATATTTTAGAGTCTACACCAGTGGTCTTTAAACTTTTGTAAATGAGGAACCCTTTAAAGATTTTTTGTATAATCAATGCAAAACCTTTCAAATTTCAGTAATTTCTTTTAAGACCTAAAAAAAATACATTGAATAATATAGTGCATTGGAATTAATAAAATCACTGAATTTTACAAAACTAATGAGATCCTTAAGTGAGATATGCAAGCCAGATTGATATAAATCAGAAAAAGAAAAAGAAATTAGGATTAAGTTTTGAACCTAAAAAAAAAAAAAAATGCATGTAAAAACAGGGTAACTATGTATACCCCAGTTTGGGAACCTCTTGTCTAGGAGTACAAACCCCTCCTCTTTCTGAGCTTGACCTCAATTTTGTTTTCTGTGAAGTCGGCACAATCCTCAACAATGAGAAACTCAACACTGTGCTGACCATAACAACTCTTTTCAGAGCTTGGCCAGGCTCTTGTCTTCTCCGAGATAGGTACAAGCCTTGACCCTGAGAAAGTCAACACTGTGCTGACCAACATAACAAATCTTATGCCAAAAGTCCATGGGTAAGTAAGAAGAAATGATGAGGTCTTTGTTGGAACAGCCGTGACATATTTTTTATTGGCTGCCTTTTTTTTTAGAGAGAGAGAAAGAGATGGATTCTTATTTGTATCAACTTCATATGTATATATATTAACGTGTATGCATACTTGAGTCTAACTTTTTTCAGAATATGAACATCATGAATAAACACAGATTATAAACAAATTATTAATGTCTCTATTCAGCCATTCCTGAAGTAAATGTTAGTATCACGCAAAGGTGTCGCACAATGGGTTCAGCAGCCTTGCACTTGGCCTATGTAGCTCTGGGTGCAGCTGATGTGTACTACACCTTTGGCGTGCACTGCTGGGACACAGCTGCAGGCTTCCTCTTGGTCAAGGAGGCTGGAGGAATAGTGATTGATACCGAAGGTAGAACTGCAGCTTCAACGGTTATCTTTCTTGAGCTCTTAGTTTATTGGATAGGCCTATGTCAGTATGGGATGAGGGTGACTTATTTTCTTCTCGGTAATGGTGGATGGCTGTCCTATTTAGGGCTTTCACACACATGCTCGCACTCACACACACACATGCACGAACGCACTCACTCACACTCACACTCACACTCACACTCACACTCACACTCACACTCACACTCACACTCACACACTCACACTCACACTCACACTCACACTCACACTCTCACTCTCACTCTCACTCTCACTCTCACTCTCACTCTCACTCTCACTCTCACTCTCACTCTCACTCTCACTCTCACACACACACACACACACACACACACACACACACACACACACACACACACACACACACACACACACACACACACACACACACACACACACACACACACATGCACACAACATATACACAAACATACACACATACATGCATACATATACATATATAAATAAACACATACACGTACACATAAGTACATATATACTTTTGTATATACACTTACATATGTATATACACATACATGCATACATACATATGCATATATGCATACATGTCTATACATAAATACATAAAAACATGCATACATATATATATTTGCATACATGTGCATACATAAGTATACATACATGCATATGTTTATATTTACATTTACATATACTTCTATATATATATACATATACATGCACATATATATATGCATGTACATGTACATGTACATATGCATATAGATATATATATATATATTATATATATATGCATGCATATGCATATACACACACATGCATGCAAGTATGTATGTATATATGTTTGCATATAAATGTTTATGATATAGGCCTATAGGTGGATATAAGGATATGATTGCTTTAGCTTCTAGACTAATTTGGGTCCTAGTTAGGTACCTCTGACATAGTCTTTTCAACTCTTTCTTGTGCATTGTATCAGTTCA